AGGCTGCTAGCCTAAGGGCACACACTAGCCAGACTCTGCGGTGGCTCCTGTGAGGTGTGAGAAGCTTCCTACCCGAGATAAACCACAGTTCTGTTTAAACAGAACCACACTCCACTCCTCTGGCCTGAGGAGCATTTGTCTTCCTCTCTGATGCTGGGAGGTTTTGGTTTTAATAAGCTGAAAATTTGATTTCATGATGTGTATTTTTTATGGGAGTTCTGCAAATCATATCTAAGCAAAGCAGTGAGATCAGCTAGCACCTGAATATTGACACAACTATTTGCCCATTGCTACGATTATGGGATACACCTACTGAATTTATTAGTTAGAAAAGGTGCTCAGAAAACGTCATCCTTTCTTCAAAATGTCAGAAGTTACCCACCAAGCATAGCAGGGAATAACACTTTCACCTCTGTTGTGCGGGTTTTGGTACAAAACACATAAAAGAAACAGCAAGAGATATTACACCTGATTTTCCATCCCACTATCTCTTAAAAAAAAAAAAAAACAACAACAAAACAAACAAACAAACAAAAAAACAACACAGAAATCGAAGGATAAAGTAACTTAAAATAGCAAAACACCACAACAGCAAGTCTGCAGTCGTGGAGTGATGCTGCAGCCAGTACTTACTGTGATTCAGAATCTTTGGAAAGATTTATGGTAGGATAGTATTTTTCTTCCCATCCTATTGATAGTGATACATTAAATGGTAAATTTAATCTACTCTCCCCTGGTAAATTTCATCTCCACTTTTACCCCCTTCATTCTTGTTTTCTTAAGCCAACATGAATATACTACAGATGAATGGATACATCTACCAGAGTTGCACCGAATTTCTGAAAGTAAGGATATTGCACCTTTCACCTGTTTACAGCTAAGAGAATAAATAAAATGGGAGAAAAAGAAATTAAAGTGACTAGGAATGTGCACATTTATCTACCTATCTTCCTTAATAAAACTTTCTCCACAAGTACAATTTCTTCCAAGACACTTATCACCAGATGAGCACTCACACATTTTGCTCATACTGTCTACAGAAGATGTCTCACAGTATTGAATCTTATCAACATGATGTACTGTAATGACATTCTCTCAATAAGAATATTTTATGAAGCTATACTTTTTTTCTTAACTAGATTTAAAAGCGTATCTTACGTGTAAAGGACAAGGTCTCTTATCCACAAAATCTCTGTATTTAACTATGAGTTTTTCCTATGCTATGGTTTGATCTATTTGCTACCAAAAGACCCCAACTGATTTAATTCAGCTTATAGTTACAAAGTAGTCCCTACTTCAAGACTGTTGCACTACAATACAGAACAAGCCACTATTTCCATCTGCAGCAACTGGCATTAAGTGTTGGTAAGTAGAAGGTTGAACCACATTGCTCATCTAGAGGCTATTTCTCTATTCCAGAACTAAGATATCTTAGTAAAGTTCTCTTGGAAATGCATTCTTTGTAGTTTATGATAATTATTTTACTATAATACCTGCTGGTACTTTAGAGTAAAGGGTATTTGTTCTGTACAAATATTAATGTAAACTGTGATGCAATCTAATTTCATGCAGTTCAGTGTACTGCAGTGGTATATGCATGACATACATCAAGAACAGGAAGTTTAACTTAAAGGATAATAAACATACAAATCAAAAAGGCCCATGGCTAGTACACACCATGAAGTTGGCTAGAATTACATACAGTATATACACAAATTATACTCATCACTTGAGCATAAATACACCTTGAAGTTTTCAAAAAAATCTCACATACTTCCAAGAATCAACATTTCCAGTTTAGCACTACCCAGTGTATGGTGTTTGACATCTTAATGCCCTATGTTGTTTCATTACTCTCAAATCAGCAGTAATATCTTTCAATTTCCTCATCTTCAATATTAATAATAGATAACTTGGATGGCTACAAGTTTAAAGACTGACCTCTGAAATGGGTTGCAACATTTCTTGTGTTGAAGGGATTTTAGCCAATAGCCTTTTTCTGACACAGCTCCTTATATCAGCACCACCTAAACTCATATAGCCATGCACAGTTACATGCTTGAGTTCCTCTTTGCATCTCAAGATATAATCCCTTGCCAGCAGTTTTGCAGGAATACACAGGCTGCCTTTGATACCAACCTTTTTAGCTCCATTACCCATTTTATGATTTCAGTGTTCCTGAAGCTGAAGAGATGTTCAACCTCCTCAGTAAGCAGCACTGCCATTTCTACCATACGTATAGCATTGCATACGCAGTTATTTGCAAAGAAACAAGATTTTCTGTCATTTGCTACATTACTTTCAAATTCAAACCAGACAATGAAGCAATGTTTCATTAAAAAAAAAAAAAAAAAGTTAGTAATATTTAACATTTTAGATCATCAAAGCATGGCAACAGAGTATTTACCCAATTAGCATGGCTGGTACTGCTACATACATAGAGTTTTAATCACAGGAAGGTTAGTAAAAAATATGTGAGATTTGGATTGAACGTGTTCTCATCAATTTTCTTTTTGTAAATTAAAATAAACTAATTCAAATTAAAGCTATCTTGAATAAATAGTTCACTTAGTGGAACAGTTCAATTTAAATAATCTACTCTGAAGGGTATTTAGAATTCCTTTCAGAATTCACTTCTTACTTCCCATAATCATCAATGCTCTTTTAATAGCCATTTGCAGCTTAATGATGATTTTCAGGTTCTCTTTTATTCTGGAAAAAAGACACTGTGAAAGTCCTAAGTGGTCCTCACTGAGTTCCAAAATTAACATTGAGAGTTAAAATGTCCAGAAAATAATGTACCTTCGCTTAAAAGCCACATGGACTTGTCAGAGAATGTTTTTTTCATATATAAATTAGCACCCTCATTTTCTTCCAGTTGCTTTTCTTTATCTCTTTGTCTGATAGAAGTCTGGATGTGCTGCTCCTGGCTTTTCCACCAGTTCCTACAAGATCATTCTAAACTAAATGATAGAATAAGTGTGCACATTTGAGGCCTGTAATTAAAACATGGTTACTCTTGCACTGATTATTTGTTTGCCAGATTCACAATATTATTCAATGAGCACAGCCAAAAGGAGTTGTAAATGTAATCAAACTTCTACATCTGTAAGAGTGATCCTGAACACAGAAGGACAAAAGGAGTTCAACTTCATATTATTTTCATCAATTCTTGACCTAAATTATTATTTCAGAGGTTGAATTTCAAGCCCTGCTCACTTAAAAGCCAAAAACATTTTCAATTCTAACAGTTAATTATACAATAACTAAAATAAGCTGAGCCTACAACTAGGACCTAAGAATTAATGTCTGAAACAAAATCTAACAGCTTATGGACCAGAGTTGTTTCAGACACCTGAACACCCCAATATTGTCCTGAATTCTTGGTTTTGGAAGGTGAACTAAATTATTCCATCTAGAGAAGGGACATAGGGAGAAACTGTGCTGCAATGCCCAGGTTAACATTACAAAGTTGGGTAGTTTATTATGATTTAGTTTGACAACTGCAACACATACCCCAGAACAAGCAATAATGAGATTGAAAATCTCCTTGAAGCTGAAGCTTCTGATATGCCCTCCCACCTTGAAAAGCTCCTCAGACAGGGTTTAACAGTCTATTTCTAGGACTAGACTCCAGGTAAGAAAAAAGTACTCTTCTTCGTTATTTAACAGCCACTGATGAACTGTTTGGCTTCCCAGATAACATTTCCTTCTTTAAACTATAATTAGTAGTATTCAAGCAAGAAAACTATAAAGAAGAAAGAATATGAATAATGGAAATCCTCACTTCAAGGTACAACATTCAAACACATTTCTGAATTGCTAAAGCATATCAAAGTCAGACAACCCACTGAAGTCTGCTCGATTTTTGAATTATATAATAAGGGCTGTAAACTCAAAGAAACACAAGCTAATATTGTCATTTTTAAATCCTGAGGACACATAGTTCTGATTTTTCATGAAGCATTGAAAATGTTAGTTTCACTTATAAAGATCAGTGATTACTGAAAACAATAGCATAACACTCCCAATTAATTTTTATAATACCATTAACAGAAATACCATGGGATGAGAAGTTTTTTTTTAAATAAGAAAAGTCACTGTCACATTTTTTTGGGGGGAGCAGATTTATGAGATTTTTTGCAAAGGAAAAAAGCTTCCAATCTTCAAAAATTTCCACCATTTATAAAGTTAAATTTCTTAAAGATTACTTCCCAACAATTTGCCTTAAGAGAAAATGCTAATCATATAATAACATCTTATACTGCATTTTGATATATGCCAATTGTATGTTTTCTTCATATTGTTTTCAGATGAGCTGTTTAACAAATGAAGTTTCTTTGGGCAGAACACCAGTGGTTTAACACATTACTGTCCCTCAACTGAGCCACAGATCTGACTTTTAAACTAATTGGATGAGAAGTACTGAAATGATTTCAGTTTTGCATAGAACCACTTCAGAAAGGAAGAGGCAGCCACATCTTGACCTGTTAAAGATAAATATATAATTCATTTCCCCAATTTTTCACCAAAATCAACTTGTCACCTTATTTTTCAAATAATACCTCAAATATATGCTTTTCCTATGTCTTTAAACATTTTTTTCTGTTCTACTGATAGAGATGAAGTAGAACACAAGTAACAGCCACACACTCCCATTTTATGCAGAACATCATTTATCATGAATGTGAAATAAAACAATACCTATAGAATTACAAAGAGTACATCAGTAATGACTGAAGATGTCAGACTTTATAGGAGAGAGAAGACAAAGCAATTGTGCGCAGAGTGGCTATTGTTTCCTCACTTTTTTTTTTCCTTTTTTCAGTGTGTGAAGGTCCCTGTGTCAGCAGGCCACTGTTGTCCAACAGAAGGTCTAACAGTATGGAAAACAGCCTCAATCCAAAACTAAAGCTGCCTATTACAGCCTGACCTTGTTCTATCACCTTTTAATCCCCCTCATCAAAATCTTCTGATTTCTATTTTTTCAGCACAAATACCTGATCTTACGTGAGCCTGCAGATCAGCCTTCTCTTCCTTCTTCCTTTTTGTTCCAGCAGTCCCAAAGCAGTACAACATTACTTTTGACCTAGAAAAAGGGTAGAAGAGGTTACTCACGAATAATGGTGCATGCATTGGTGCTTAGAATACCGTGTCTCTTGCTGCCCTATAAAATTTTATTATGCATGGTGAATGACACCTTTGAACAGCTACTGTGGGATGAATACCTTATGTTTCAGCCATGATTTGAAACTCTTTCATTTAATTTGGGGGTGGCATCCTATTATGCCATTTAATCTCATGGAGCATTTCCAAACAGAATCTGTTAAAGAAAGGTAAGGGTTCACACCACAGGACAAATGTTGGAACTGGTGCTGTCTGTAAAGCTGAAAGTGAGCAAAAACCTTCTGGAGAGTGGAGAGGAAAGCAGAAAGCAGTGACCATCACTTATGAAATACACACTGTAGAAAATAAAAGGCTGGACAAAGCTTATGCAGTTTCCTTCAACAGCACAATTTGATTAGACATGTACTTACAAGCCACCAGTAAAAACTTTATTGTGCAAATGCATCAAGACCCACCTGCCTTCCAAGCTGCTGAGGTCCCAAAAATGTTTTCATTCTATTTAATGAAATTTAAAACGAGTACATTAATTTTGTGGGGTTTTTGTTAAACTGTTTGTGGTGGGTTGACCTTGGCCAGCTGCCACACTCCACACACTGCGACTCCCTCTCTGTCCCCTCCTCAATCAGGCAGTGGAGAAATCACAAAGATGAAGCCAGGGAGATCAGGTACCAACTACCTCAGGGGAAAACCAGACTCATCTTTGGGAAAATCAATGTATTTTATTGCCAATTGAATCAGATTTAGCGAGAAACAAAGGCAAAATTAAAACAACGCCTTCCCCCCTTCCTCACCTTCATTCCCGGCTCTCCCACCTGACCCCTCTGCCCTGAGGGGTGCGGGAAAATGGCGGCTGCGCTGCTCCCTGCGGCTCCATCTCTGGCTCCCCCGCAGGCCGCAGCTCCCTCGGGAGCTCTCCACCCGCTCCCTCCAGGGGGGGAATCTCCGGGGAGCCCGTGGGGAGGACGGCGGGAGCCCCTCCTGCCGCTGTGCCCTCGGGGCTGGCCGGGCCGCTCCTCACCCGTTTCCCGCCCGCCTTTCCTCAGCCGAAGGCACTTTGCACGAGGCGCTCGCCCGCGGCTGAGGGGCCGAGCTGTGCCTCACGGTGGGGTCGCTGGGGCCAGAGCAAAAGAAGACAGAGCTCACCTCGCCTTCAACAGAGCCCTCAGCAGCAGCAGCACCTGGTACAGTATTACTTTGATTAGAACTGTTCCCAAAGGTTGAGTTGGGAGTATATGCATGGACACATAAACAAATACATTGGTTAAAAATACATTATTGGTTAAAATTTTCAGGAAATGTGGACTGTAAAATTGTTGACTGTTGGGAAATTATAGTTGTTTTCAACATCCTAAATGTCCAAAACCTGCGTCAGGTTTTGCATAGGCTTTAGCTAAGAAGCCTTATATGCAATAAGCTGCTTTTGCCATTCTAGTGGGTATAAACACCTGAGCTTTCTCTATAAAGAAGTTAAAATTCAAGAGATTTTTAAGGAAATAGTTTGGAGGATATTTCCCTTACCAGACAGCGGCATGGAGAAGGTGGTTCGCCATTTTGTGTGTCAGTGGGAGCCTGTGTAGTGTCTGCTTTGTGTTCAGCCCCCCGATACCATTAGGGGGGATAAAGCCTCAAATCTCTTTAGACCTTCTCAGCCACCACATACAAACTCTTCATTAGGGTCATATCATTTTAAATCTGGAATAGTGGAAAAGTTCTGCCGCAATTGGAGCTTTTGTATCTTTTTATCTGATAGTTGCTTAACCTATAATAAATTCAGTTATCTACAGGGGTGATGCTCAATACCAGCATGAGTAAGAAAGGCAGGTGCTGTACAAAATGCAGTGCATTTTCATGATAACATCAGCAGATCCAGTGTACGTCTGAAACTGTAGCACAATTATGTTACATGTAATGTGTGGGGTTTGTTCATCAAGAAGTTTGGGGGAAGGGAGGCTCTCTGTGGCTGTCGTTATGTGAAACAATACTCCTTTTGACTCTGTAACTGTTGTACTCTGTAGGTAATGGGGGGAGGTCAGTTGTATTGTTGCGCGGGATTGTGAGAGAGAAAAGGGGGCTGGGTGGCTCAAAGTGGTGTCTTGTTGCAACGCTTGAGGGGAGGGGGCTGCGACGGTGAGGAGGCTGGCAGTGGACGCTTCTCGAAGCCTCTGGCAGCTAAACTTCTCGGTAATGAGACCCCTGCAACAAAGGGAACCAATGGGGAAGAGCCATGTCAACATCCGAGTGAGGAGGGGTGACAGGATTGGCTAGGGCCTTGAACGGAGAAGATAAAGGACCGCCTCCCAGGGACCGCGTGTGCGCGTCTTGGGCGGAGCGGAGGGCTCCCCGGCGCACCCAGCGCTGTTTTATCTGCTATCGCTTACTCAGTTTAATAAAATTTATACTTTAAACCAAAATTGGCTAGAATATTGATAACATTACAGAAACACTAAAGTATATATGAAGCAGATGAAGGTATACTAAGCATGCTACAGTAACTAGAGTTTGCTTTGTCTCAAGAGTGTATATGTAGCAGCTTAAACCTTTCTTTGCATTTTAGATGGAAGAACAGAACCTGTCTGCACAGCTTTATCCTATGCTGACCTAAGCAGAGCCATTAGAGGTCATGAAAATGAGTCCCTGTTGCTGTTGAGGGGTGATTGCCACCAGTTGTAGTTCTTAATGGCAGATCAAAGGCCAAACAGAAGCAATAGTATCTTGCCCACAAAAGAAAACATAATTTCCACTACTTCTTAGGTTTTTAGTAAACAAACAAGAATTTACAATTACAGGGAAAAAGGATGTTTAGAACTGCCTATGAGTTTAAATAAAATACCTTTATGTATTTGCAAAAATGATTTTATAGGATGTTTGCTGATCTACTGAAGCCTGCTGGATTCTACAAACTCAGTCATCAAGGTTTTCTCGCTTGAAATTGTGAGCATTGTAATTGTATATTCTGAACGCAGAAGAGCAAATCTAGATGGAACTAAGTCATTAACCTGAAGGATATGGCTGATTTTTCTAAACATCTATTAAAAAACATTATGAGTACTTGTTTATCTACACTTCTGTAAGCTTTCAGCATTGATTCTATTTATTTTTTTTGCATCTAATTACTTTGCATAATGATATGTTTATACTGCTGGCAATCTCCTTTTTAGAGTGGAATTATGCATAGAGTATCCATATAGATCTGATCAGAACTGAAGAGGGTAATAGTAATAAGTAAAACTCTTTAAAGGGAAAAAAGCTTCATAAATCATTGCAAAAACTCACCAGCTTTCAAGGAATAATGATCATGTCTTTGGTGAGTTGGAAGTTCTTGAATATTCATTTAAACTAATGATGAAATCTTGACTGTCTTGTGGGAATTTTGTTATTCATCCCAATCGCATCAGAGATTTCTCTTGAATTTTTCAGCTGAGTTTACATTGTCCTCTTTGTTCTAGAGATAGCTCTGGAAATGTTGTGAAGACAAGATCAAGTGAGATTTCCAGTATCTTCAGATTTCATGCAGATTACCCAGTGTGTGGTAAGTGCAGCCTTTTCTGTGTTATGCTGATTTCTTTTGGTTAAGATACTATGAAATTTTACAAAATATGTATAGAAGTGAAGGTAACACGAAGGAAAGGAAATTATATTCTTCCTAAGAACAAAATGAAAATGAGGGAAGGTTTGGAACATCTGTATTTAAATATCACCCAATTCTAAGGTCCTTCATTTCATTAGTTCTGAAGCATTTTGAGGTTTACAGGTAATTTTTCTGATGTTCACCTTCTGTGGCAAAAGGTAATAGCCCTCCCTGGCCATCTCCTCTATGTTCTGCTTTATTCCAGGATTTGGTTACAAACTCACACTAGATTCTTTTTGCTTATAACGAAATCTTCACTCCTACTTCCCACCTCTCACTGAAAGTATGTGTACTCCAAAGGTGAGGAAAAGTCTTCCCCTCCATAACTAATAATGTAGTTCTTTGAAGTTAATTCTTGTTGCAGAATGTGTATGTATACACAACTATGTATGTTGACATTATAAATAAGTATAATGTCATTCCAACTCTTTAAAATTTTTTATTTAGTATTTTGGCAAATACAGTAGTCATTTTCATTTCTGTTCTGAGCCTGGTACCTTTCTGCCTCCAAAGCACAAAATTCACTTTCAGATTGCAGTTAGGCCAGTTCAGCAGGTGATTGGCTGACATGAATTGACCTTACAAAGCAAAGAATGGAAAGATCTTACCTAGAAAGCATGACTGACCCTAAAAAAACTCAGTTGCACAACCCAGGAATCAGTCCTTCACGCAAGAAAAGAGAAAGGAAAAGTAAAAGCTTTATTCAGGCATGCAAAGACCTCTTCCTTTGGGATACTTCTGTTCCTTCTGCCACTGCCCTCATATAACGTACAGGACTTGAACTATTTATATAGATACTCTTCATTGTGTGTTTTGCTCACTACACCACACAAACAGCCTATGCCGCTATACGTTTTAAGTTGCTGTTTCTGTCATGTAACATAGATGTGCTTTCAAGAACAAAGGCTGTTTTGGAAACCAAACAAAAGGCTGGTTCCTCTTAACCAACTGAGCAATAATTTGGTGGTTAGGATTATTAGTGATTGCTTTCTGAATTCATTTTGCAGTGCAGGCCTGACCAAGCCATTCTGGTAGCACTTGCTAGGTATCACTTAAAAAGAATTGTAAAAAGTATAAAAGGTATCTAAAATTAGTATTTGCTGTTCTAAAACACATCATCAGGCACATCAAGCATTTTTTCTGTTCCTCCCCACTGATTTGTCAGGCAAGCGAAAATCAGAATTGGTAATTTAACTATACCATAAGGCAGTTTATTTGAAGGAATGGAATACATTTATTTTTGAACTCCAAATTTAAATACTCATCTTTAATAGTTAATAGACTAATACTGAAGTTTATTGCACAAACTTGTATTCCTTTTAGGTTTCTG